CCCCGTATCCCCCCTCGTATTCTCCCCGGGGCCCCCCACCGCCGCCGTTGCCTCGCCGCCCGCCTCTGCCTCGCCCTCCTCGTCCCATTAGGGCCAAACGGAGAGGAAGTTTGGCTGTGTTTGTTTTAATCGACGCTTTGTGCGGATATTCGATTCGTGCTGAAATGCAACCGTGGACGGAGTACAGCTGCTCTAGAATAAGTAACACAGCTAAGGCGAGAACGGGATAATGCAGATAACAAGCGAGTCGGGGTAGTGGCAGTTATTGATGCGTAGCCGGCCTGATGGTCTTGGTCAGCGACCCCCTGTGTTGAGAGATGCACATGCAGCGAGATGCAGCTTGCTCGGTACGGTACGGTACACGACGATCTACGGCCCGGGCATTGCCTCACTTGCAGAGGTGACTTCTCAACCGTGCAGGTGATCTGAAGCTGCTCTGCCTCCAAATTACCAATATTTCTATTTCCTGTGGGTCCTGAAGCTGCACAAACACCCAAACTTATAATTACAAGCGGTGTATACTAAGAAGTAGGCAGCGATAGGCTTGCTTGGGGCCTGGCTACAGCTGTTCCATCTATATACATAGGCGTAAGGTACTGTGCGGACGATACGCTTCTCGCCTCCTCCGTCCAGCTTCGTTTACATCCCCCACTCCCTCTGCACTCTTCTCCCAGCCCCGATCTCGCACTGCCTCAGCTGCCACAGCACTGGTAAATTTGTATGGCCCGTCAAAAATCCATGCTAACGGGCTCCAGGTAACAAACACATCGAGCATCGAGAGCACTCTGGTAACCGAAATATAGCTGCAGCAGCGTTGTGGCTCCCTGTCACTCTCGAACAGTACCACCCGTGGACTCATATCAGCAGCAGTGTTGAGAATCAGCCGGAAGCGGGTGACTCGACGCCCGCTATTGCCACCTGTTGTCGCTCGAGTTTCCCACTTTAGTCCATCCTTCCAGCTCCACCATGAGCACCAGTCTCGATCGCTTCCAACGAGTCCTGCAATACTTCTGGGATCCCGAACCAAAGAATACAGAACCAATGAACTCCATCTGGTTACTGGGTCAGGAGTACCCCAACGTTCCTGTACCGTCAACCCATCCTTCCTCCGCCCCTGCGACTCCACCAGACAACTCTACACCGGCCGGGGAACCCCCGAATGAGTTGTCGCAGAGCGTCCTTGTGTCGAGCTATAATATTCCGTCAGAGGACAACTGGCCAATAGCGTTCCTGGAGGACTTTGGCTCGCGGATATGGATGTCGTACAGGACAGACTTTCCGGCCATTCCAAGGTCAGCACAGCAGACGACTCTGTCTTTCTCCACGAGATTAAGGACACAGTTGTCGGCGGACCAGAGTGGGTTTACGTCGGATGTCGGTTGGGGATGTATGATACGGACGGGCCAGTGTCTCTTGGCCAATTCACTGCAGCTGCTCACTCTCGGGAGAAGTTAGTCTTCAAACCCCCCCCCCCCAGTTGCCATCACAGTTCTGACAGTTAAATAGGCTGGCGTAGGGGAACACAGGAGGCTTGGGAGAAAAGGATTCTGGCTCTCTTTGCAGATGACCCTAGGTCGCCTTTTTCAATTCACAGATTCGTCAAACACGGTGAGGAAGCATGTGGGAAAAATCCTGGGGAATGGTTCGGACCATCAGCTGCCGCAAGATGTATACAGTGGGTATTGACCTATATGGGAGCAGTATGGACTAGGTTTGACAGAACTTTAGGAAACTGTGCGAGGACTATCCGCATGCTGGGCTCAAAGTTTATATGAATGGGGATGGAAGTGATGTATATGAGGATGCCTTCCGAAAGGTTGCTATTTCAAATGATGGGAAATTTCAACCAACATTGGTCCTTCTCGGGATACGGCTGGGGATTGATAGGGTCACACTAGTTTATTGGGAGGCGTTAAAGGCGATTTTGCAGATGAAACAATCCGTTGGGATTGCTGGGTATTCCATTCCCGCAGCCCATTATGTGGCTAATTGGCTAACTGGCTATTTTTCTGAATCCACAAGTGGAAGGACAGGCGCATCCCATTACTTTGTGGGTGTCCAAGGAAACTATATTTTCTATCTTGACCCACATCAGCCACGGCCCTTCCTACCTTACCAAGTAGACCCTACAAAATATACCGCAGAACATTTAGACTCGTGCCATACCAAGAGGCTACGGAGGTTGCATCTAAAGGAGATGGATCCCAGTATGTTACTTGGGTTTCTGATTAAGAATGAGGGCGACTGGCAAGCATTTCGAGATGGTGTTGCGGAGGTACGCCTTTTTATATTACGAACTTCGTAACTCACAGCCTGGCTATCTTCTACCTACCGAGAATACTAATTTCGTATTACCATAGGTACAAGGAAAACCGGTAATTCATGTGGGTGACCTAGAGCCCAACCCTTATGGAGCAAATAAGGGTGAGCGAGAGGAGGCTGTGGATGAAGTAGAAGCTTTAGATGATGAGGATGAGATGTGTTGAAGCGCACAGTTATCTTTACTATGCACATGTTCTATTACCAGGGAATTCCAGGAGGTAACCATATTAGTGTAGCGGTGTATGGGGTGTATTATGTGGTATATTATCCAGTGTATATGGGTATATGGGGGTGGTTTCTGGTATTTATGTTTATTGTAGAGAAGAAATCGAAGTGAATGGAATCAGATACAGCACAGTACTCCGTATCGTGATCTCATATTTGACCCTCTACTCTCACGCCAAGCGAGCCTCCCGAAAAGCTTAGCTCTCCAAAATTTCGTGCTTTCAGATCCAACGCAAAAATGCCCCGAACAAAACGAAAACAGCAGGCGCAAAACACTGATTCTTCGTTGGCGACAGCACCTGCACGCGTGACTGCGACACTTCCAGTTGCACCTACAGCAGCGAAAGATGTGAGGGTTGATGGAGTGAGTGGTGGAGCGAAGCAGAAGAGGAAGAGGAGGCGGAAGGCAAGGACCGAGGGTACATTCCCCCCTTCTCCTGGTTTATAGTACACACTTACCGGGTGATATGTGGAGGAGAATTGGCTAATGATATGGTCGTCGGATTGGGATGGTAGTGTCGGATTCGGATAGCAGTAGCAGAAGTAGTAGTTCCAGTGATAGCGATGATAGTTCGGCGAAGCGGAAAGTAAAGTCGAAAAAGCAAAAGAAGAGGAAAGAGGAGGAGGAGGAGGAGAAAGAGGGCTTCGAGACACTAGCTGGGAAGGGTATTGTCGATGGCAATGCGGAGATGAAAGATGCCACCTCCGTTCACGGGGCTTCATCAGAAGAAGAAGAGGAGGAGGAGGAGGGGGAGGGGGAGGGAGATTTGGATGAGGCGGATGGTACTGAAGAAGGAGAAGGAGGACCAAGGAAACGAGTCGGGGACTTCTCTCCTGGAAAGGTCCGCCCCACTTATCTCCTCCACTCCTCTAAAACTAACATGCTTGCTCAAGAGATATTGGAGCTATGCTAATGCTGTATTTCCGTATAGTCTCCCCGCATCCCCTCCCCCCTTCTCCAACGAGACCCCACAGACCCACAGTCCGCCCAACGTTTCGAGGAGTACTACATGCAACTCATCACGTCTGAGTTTGGCGAAGAGCTTAATCAAGTTCGGAAGGCAAAGGACTTTGGTGAGAGGAGCTTGCCGATGTTGGTGAGGGCGTTGAAGCTGGGGGTTAATGTGTTTGACATTGGGGAGAAGAGGACTGTGGTGCGCAGTTTGGGCTTGTAGATGTGCAAGGGAGGAAGGGTGATTGTAATTGCATATGATTTAACACTTTGTGTGAGGTTTGTATGAAATTCATGAATAAGGATCAACAAAACTTTTAAAAAAAAAACAAAAGAGGGATGAATTACCCTCAGATAACCAACAAAACGAAAATTGAGATGAATGAACAATCAAACATGGTACTGGATACGGGCTATTTATTTGTCCTAGCCCACCTAGACTGGCCACCCTTTCGTTGAGGCTGACCTGAGATCATGTAACCGCAGACAAACCCCAAGCCTATAGCTGCTCAAGCAAACTTACCGCTCCTTCAGGACTCCCCCCTCCACCCAATCCCTCGCCCTGAAGTCCTCCGGCCCTGACCCCCCCTCCCTCCAAACCTCCACCGGCATCTCCTCATCTAGCGCCCTTTCCTCTCTCCGCAGCGTCTGCTCCGTCTTCTCCACCCGACTTGCCATTCTCTTAATGCTCGCGTTAACGCGATTGACCAAGCCCTACATACCCCAGGATGTGTGGGTTAGATATGTCCCGAATATTGGGCACTGGGATGGACAGACAAGGACCCCACCTCCAACAAGTCAATCTGTCGATACACCTTCTCCAGGTCCTTCGCTATAGGCACCAAATCCGCCGCGACAGGCTCAATCACGTTTGCGGTTTGCGCTTGGGCCTAGAAACAAAGTCCACCAAACGTTCAAAGTGACCATAGGCCAATATCAGCTCATCCATCCTCACCAGGAAGATTCGGCATCCCCGCCATCGCACACACATTTGGGGTATCATGTACGGAGTAACAGAGACAGCACGCCAACAAAAAAACACGCACACGCACCTCCTGCAAGACATCCTTCTGCGCCGCAAGCATAATCTCACAGCCACTCTTCAGCTGCCCGATACCGGCCGATATCGGCGCAAACAGCTGACTCCTCAGATACGCGGCAATCTCCTCGGCAACCTCGGGCGGAAGCTGTGTCACCGGCGGCACCTGGATTCGTGTCCGCACAGCATTCCCCGGCGGCTCCGAGACATCCTGGCCCTGGCCTTGCTCAGGCTCATCCTGCGCTGGTCGACTCATGGCTGTGGTCACTGACTGGCGAGAACTTCCAGACGTAGTCGGCAAACCTCATTGGCCAAAGGCGGTGAGTGAGGGCGATTTGTCATCGGCACAAGCGTAAGGCGCGTGCCGAGGGGCGGAATGGGGTGGAAAGGTGAAGATCAGCGATCATCGAATGCACATGTGCCATGTGCCGTGCGGCGAAAAAGAATGAAGCAAAAAGATATCGTCGAGAGCAGGGTTCGAACCTACGCGGGAGAACCCATATGATAACAATTATCCGAAACAGACAATTCAAGTCATACGCCTTAACCACTCGGCCATCTCGACTTGTTATACTTAAGAGACCCATAATCTCCAATTAGGGGTGGCAAGATTTAGTGGATTCACATCACGAAGAACATGAACATATTGTCAACTTCCATCCACCCCCAGCCTGAATATTAAGTGCTTTCTAGGACGTACCGATCCAATCTGCTTTGCATATCCTTGCACTTGCTTGCGTTATGATGCCTCCCTTGTCCTCAAAGACCTGTTTTGAAGAGTATCAAGCTCATAACCAGTACAATATGGGTATTCCGTACTGAGGGAGGTTTGGGCATCGCCAGCTTGGTATTAAATTACTTTCCTTTTAAGTTACTAGTCTGGTTGCTGATTGTCAAGGTGTACTGTACAAATATGTACCTAATCCCTTTTAAATCCATAATGTAACAAGGTAACTGTGCATATGGACTGACTACCCTCTTAAACCAAAGTAGTGATATCTACAGATAATTATAAGTTACAAGTTCTTATTCTCGTCATTTGCATCTTTGTACTTCATTCCAGAATAACAGATGCTTTCTAATTCAGGATCTGCCTGCTACTGACCACTATTAAATCACTAGATTCGGATTTTCTTTGCGTTTAAGTACTCTTGGATATAAACTGTATTAGGACTGAGTAAAATGTTCTCGGATTGGAGGAAATGAGCCATATAAGGGTAACTGACCACACCAGGCAGGCGAAATGGGGAGTGATTATTTGGAATTATGTCTATTAAAGCACCCCCCTCTCTGGCTCCGGCGCTTCCAACCAGAAAAGATTGAATTAAAAGAAAAAAAAAAACTCCAGGCTAAAAGACTATAGTGTATAGAACGATGCTGAATGGAGGCATAACAAAAAGAGAAGAGTCGATGGATTCAAATTTCTTCATTATTTGATTTCCTACCAAACCCAGATCGAGAAACATGAAACAACAGAGGGAAAAAGAGCAAAAAGTAAAAAGACATAATTCCAATGTGGACCACCGAGAAGCAGTTCTCGTCCTCCTCCTATCGACCTTCAGGGGAGATCAGCCCGAGCATAAAGCTCAAACAGTGAACAAGGTTCCAATTCCTCCCGATATTATCTAAACATTTCCCATATCATCAAATCGTAGCCATGCAAAAAGTATCCACCTCTTTACCTCATCATGAAACAAACCGGCACGATGTTAAAAGCACCATCCAGATTACAACTTCTGTTACGTTGTTTACGAGAAGAACTTTCTCGCAAGTGTCTGCTTATCTATGGGCAGCTGTGCTAATATCTGCTGTGCTTGCGGCCCAGCGCTGATAAACAGTGCGTTCATGGCACCAATGACGTTCTCCGCGTTCCTGCCAGTGATAGATTGTGAATCTAGAGCTTCCAGCACGGACACAATTACGTGGTTAATATTCTGTATCACGGCAGGATTTTTCCTACCAGAAAGAGTTATGTCAGCAAGGGCAACATATGCAAGAGAGATGGGTAGAAGTACTGTTCAATGAGTTGGACCAAGAATAGATATGCGTATGGGGCAACCATCTCGTCGTATACGACAGGTAATGTCTTGACCCAGTTTGTTACCACCATCTGAGGCTCAACTACTCGACTATTGTTGAATTGCAGAATTTTTGCAATACTAGCGCATGCATTTTCTGTCGCAAAAACATGATCATCTTCCCGCGCTTGAGGGAACTGTGTGACCTGGAACAGCTTGGGAATACAAGCTGCAACAAATTCTGCGTATACCACCCCACCATTCTTAGCTGCCATGCCAACACCATATGCTGCGGCTTGTCGGTTCGCAGGCATAGTGTCCTCAAGGCCAACCATTATCGGCTTCATAAAGTGCTCCTGATACTTGTAGGATTCCCGGCCACAGAACTCAAGCATATCATCCATGATGCAAAGAGCCCACTGACGCTGGCTTGGGTCTGTGCTAGAAATAAACGTATCATAGTATGGCATTAAACGTTCCCAATGTGGCAAGAAGCTGGCCCCCTGGTTTTTAAAGATGATGTGGAAGGATTTGTTCATGTCAGAGAGGAGTACCTGGTCGTCTTCAATAGCGTACAGTAGCTCAGAAGAATCTTCCAAATCATCTTCGTCCTTAGCCGCTTCCTTAAGACGAGCCTCTACACGCGCGCGGTATCTCTGCAGGTCAGTCTCAACCTTGGTAATGAATCCGGCCATGTATTCTGGAGTCAAAGAGTTTTGCCCAACGACTTCCACTGACTCATAGAAGCATTGATACATCTCGGTAAGTGTATCAACTGCAACATCGGCATCTTGGGGGCCCAAGACACTCAGAATCTTCTCAATGGCGGGCCTCCAAATTTCCAGGAGCTCGGGGGATTGGGGACCATAGCGCTTCTTGAAGGAATTGAGGAGCTGAGGTACCAATTTTGCTGAGGCAACCCTTACAGCATCATTGAAAAAGAAGTCGAAGCCGGGAATTGCAATCTCCGTTAGGACCCTTCTTACGTATGGCTCGAATGCTCCCTCTAGCTGCTGAGCATAGGTTACAAGAAGTTCAATGGCGAGGTATTTGTCATCGAGGATTGAAGTCTTTATGCCGATGTATTTGCCTCCAGCAGGTACCAGCTCCCATCCGTCCTCCTGCTCATACTGTTGAATTTGGTCGTCGTCTATGAACTTTCAATTAGCTACCATTTAGGCAACAACGACGAAACTACCTACCATCCAACAGCCTAACATCCGCCTTAGCACCAGCAAGTTGCAGAAGTGGCGGCATCACGCCTTCCAAGTATGGCAGAAAGTCGTCGCCCATGGTGCGACACATTCTTCCCCAGCAGTGGAGGAGGTAGGAGCCTTGAGGATCGTCCGCATCAGTTGCGGTTTCTAAGCATTAGTTAGTAAATCGCTTAACTGAATAAAGTCTACTGTATCCATAGACTCACGTTGAATTCGGGCAAAAATGTTCACCAATTGAAAGGCATCTCCACCAAGCTTCTCCTTGCCAACGGCAAGTGCGATGAGACTTGCACACTCCATTGCCTTTGCATTCAATAACCTGTTCTCCTTGGCCTGGTCGGAGTGGGTGAGCACGTTGATGAGAAGTGGCATGAGAGTGTCATAGTATTTGCCAAAAGCAGCTTCCGCGGAGTCGGCGATAGTAGCGATGGTGGACAGTGCCTGCTCCTGGACATATCTCTTGGGGCTTTGTAGAAGAGCTAGCAGTCGCTTCAACAGATCGTCAAGGTATGGGACCAAGTCCTCTTTTTCGGCCTCTTCACAAAAGTTCACCAAAGCGGCGGCAGCGTGAGATTGAACCCTATGAAGTGTTACCATGGCTGATCAAAAAAACATAACTAGGACCCTACCTTGGCTCAGGAGACTCTAAGACTGGTATTATACTGGACATCACAATGTGATGATGCTTCTTTTGCATATCTCCGGCGAAATCAGTGCTCATTTGACCTAGGGCATTGCATCCAGCCCACCTGACCCTTGGGTGTGCGTCTCTAACAGCCGGAACCACCATCTCCAAGATTTTGTCCAATTCTCCAATCATTTGATCTCTACAGCCTTCCGAAATTGCCGATATCGCCATCAATGCTGCATGGCGATCTCTCCAAGCGGAGGAGCTCAGCATTCTTGGGAGCCAACTGAATGTAGGTTCCAATACGGCATCGCCGCCGAGTTTATTCGCAAGCCGGTCCATGCATTGCTCCCCGGCAACGTGGTTCATGTCACTCTCATCCACATCCAACTACATCAATTAGTACATTGACAGACCACCTGACATTGAGAAATACTCACATCATCAGATTCATTCCACTCTTCCGCATCATCATCGTCGGCCCCAATATCTGTCATCAAACTCAAGCACTGAGTGACCATTTCCCTGGCGTAGGACGGCTCCTTCTTGCACATGTTTGGTGCATTATCGGCAAAAGTAACGAGCAGTTCCAAAGCACTTTGCCGAGCAGTATCCGAGAGGTCCTTGTCTTGGACAATCGATATTCCAAACTTGACGACTTGGGGAAAGAGGGACTTGAACATGAGCGGAGCAGTATCCGCTAAATCAATGAGGGCAACCAGAATTTTCGATAGATTATCTGAATCCTGCTGGCTCTTGAGCACAGGCAGGACATTGAGAATCTCTGGTAGAAGGGACCAGAACTGCTTTTGAACATCCCTTGGGACGGAGCGGAAGAACGCTGAGAATGCCTCAATGGCCGAGATTCGCACCTGTACACATTTAGTACCTGCCTTTCGAATTGGGTTGTGGAGATATCCTACGGTCAATGCCTCATCCTGAAATCCACTTGTGAAAGCCCCGCGTACAGCATCCGCATGTTGCTTCCCGATGATATTTGGTGTTGTAGCGAATATTCTGAATGCGCCTTCGCGATGGCTAGAATCCGGGCTCTTGCTAGCCTGAAACAAGGCTCCTAGAAGCTCAGGCCAAGATCCCTCTGTAGGGCACCAAAGATTTCATTATCAGCATCCTTGTATTCTTCCCACCTTGGGTATTCAATAGTTCTAACCTGTATCGAACATTTGCCGGGCGAGTTCCGCTGTGGCATCGCCAATCTTATTCCTGACATTTGAGGTGGGCTCGTCCGCGAACGACTGTAGCATGAGTCCCCGGACGTATAATTGGACGTCTGAGGGAAGTGAACTGAATAGATCGCAGGGTGCCCCATCTTTGTTGATTGTTTTTGTTGCGATTTTCCTGAAGAGAACAGCAGCAAAGCTCCGGATCTACAGTACAATGGTGAATATTAGCAAACTCAATATTCATTGAGGGCCGACAAAGATAGAGAAACAGGGATTATCTGGCCCAAGTGAGATAGCTACCACACCACCACCAATAGGCAAAAAAATCATACCCCTACACCAAACTTTCAGAGCAAATGATCGCCGGAAAATAAAGAGTTCATACCTTAGCATCTTCGTGACCTTTCACCTGCTCTGCCAGCCCCGACAATAACATCTCTGGATTCTGGGCCAACCACTCTGTAGCTAGGCTCTCCTCCGCCTGTGTTCTAGTGTTGTTGTCCGGTGATTGTAGAGCA